GACTGCTCATGTCCCTTCAGCATTACATCATAGTACATACCTGGTCCTACAGTAGACTGCTCATGTCCCTTCAGCATTACATCACAGTACATACCAGGTCCTACAGTAGACTGCTCATGTCCCTTCAGCATTACATCATAGTACATACCAGGTCCTACAGTACACTGCTCATGTCCCTTCAGCATGGCGTTATTAAGTTGAAGCTGCTGTTCAAATAACTGGTCATCTTTCTTCTTGATGATCAGCTGGTATTCTTGTAGCTGCTGTGTGAGCATTCTCTTCTGTTGATCTACTCCTTTCAACTTTCTCCTGAGACTGTCTATTTCACCAGACTGCTTAGCAAATATTTCTTCATCATTCGACAGTTCAGATTTGTACTGCAATTAAAAGAGTTTTTCCATTATTAAGATACATTATATAGTAAGCAATTTTTTTTTTCATTTTTCAATGAAAAACCTTTGCCTAATTAAATAACACAACGATACAACTTTAACTTGTGAAAAAGATATTTCTCACTAATTGCAATATGTTTACTTGACAAAGATCCAAGTAATTCGACGTTCTTCTGTTAAGATATATCACTTGAATGTTTTATGTTTTATAATTCTTAGCAAACTGATCGCATAAGCTTCATTAATGCGGGCAAAGGTTCATAAAACTATGCACACTTAAGATTTTGTTGGTTGAATTAGGTCCCCATACAATGTACATACATGTTCTTGTTGACTTTCAGCAAAACAGAAGGAAAGGAAAAAAATTCTAGCCATTCATTGAGTGTTCGTGATCACGAAGTCAATGAATCGGAAGCTTATTGCAAGGGCTGATCCAGGGGAAGGGTCGGGGGGGTCGCGACCCCCCTGTCATTCCTGAGGTCAAATGGGCTTCTTGTGGTAAAAATGCAACTGGGATACCTTTGCCCACAAAATTTACCCCTGAGACCCCCCTTCAAAAAACCCTGGATCTGCCCTTGTATTGTATGCCATAATTATGGTTCCTAAGCAAAAGGAATTCATATATACCTTGATATTTTCTACTCTCAATTTGTCTATCATCTTCATATAACTAACATCTGATTGGCTGGTGCTCATAGAATATTTAGTGGTTATGTCATCCAGCATCTTCATCCAGTCTTCATACTGACTGGCTTGTGTATTATTCATAGTACCATTACTGTGGAATGTCCTGAGCAAAGCAGAGGCACTTACTGCACACTGTATGTAAGCTTCACAAAGCCCGCGATATCTGTAACAAAAATACATGTATTTATGAGCAAAATAAGACCAATTAATTGCATCAATCAGGTTTTGAAATTTAAATCGTGGTTGCTTAAATATACCCTGGGATATAGGGAACCACTGGTGGGGAGCCACCACTGTGGTCATGGATTTACATTTATTACACCATCATAATATTATTTTATTAATTTAATTATAATAATAATAATTTTATTGAATAATATATTATATCAAATCCTATTCTTCATAATATGTCATTAACCAGATTTATAATTTAGAATAATACTAAATATTAATCTACATAAAAAAGAAGAAAAAAAACTAATAATAATATACTAAGTACAATAAAAATATATCTAGTATAATTATAATTTATATAACGACCATAAAATATGTTATATAGTATTAAAAAACTCAGTTAGTCAGTTTTTCATCTTATAATTCCTTCTTCTTTGTAAGTATTATATATTAACATATTCATATTTAAATAATGGACAAATTCTATTCGTTTTTTACAATCTTGAAAAAATGTATAAATATTTAAAAATTATTAATTATTGAT